AGTGAGGGATAGCCAGAACATACAGAACAAATTGAAAACCTTGCTGAGTTATATTGCATAGGTTTGAGTTAGCTTGCAAGATCAGTGTGGTGACTTGTATATTTTTCTTTCTGTTTGCACGATCAGGCCCACAGTGTATCATGTTTATTTTATAGTCTATTTTTTATAATGTCGTCTCTTGATGGATTGTCTAGGTCAGCAGTTCCCAGTCTATGGGTCATGAGTCATGACCCCAAGTGGGTTCACGCCAAAATGGTGGCTTCCATGCTGTCTGGGGTTGCAGGTAGCAACAAAGTCTGGAAATAGGATTATGCAGGCAAAAAGTTTGGGAACCGGTGATCTAGAACCTGATCCTGCCTCCCTGAGGTCCACGGGAACTTTGCCATTGACAGGGTTACAAACTCTCATGATCTTATTTCAAGTCTCAACATATTTGGTGTAATTCATGAAACCTCAGCTGCTGGAATAAAGAGATTGCATGAGAAACTCATCTATCTTGAAAAAAGCTGGAAGTTTCTAGCCCTCATGGGTTGCAGAGAAAAGTTTGAAAGTGTGAAACAAGGTTTCAGAAGTCAGAAGACAAAGAAAAAGAACCCCAAAGGTATTATTTTTAAAAATCTCCTGATTTTTAAGGCAATAATGATCTTTTGGGAGCCTCAGCTCATGAATTCTGAACTGTTGAGGTTGGTAATAATGTGGTTGACTTCACTCTGTGAAGGATAAAGCCCCTAGTTCCTCTAGCCTTCAGTTCTGAACCTGCAACCACTTACGCACGTTCATAACTTTTCTCAGGAGAGTTCAGTGGGACTATTTGTGTGCAAAATTACTCGTGTGCAAGTGATTGCAGGGTGGCAGCAATAGAGGAGGATTTCCATTTCAGTTACGTGAGCCTTTTGGCTATTAGATTTTTAAATAAGTCTCTTTCTTTTGCCCACTAGTTTGGTCAAAGCTGAGGGACTCTAATACAAGTAAGTTTGGGTAATGTGAGTTGTGTGTGTTCTGCCTTTGTAATCTCCTCCCCAAAGCGTTTTACTGCACCATGCAGTCAGTAAGCAGAAGTGTGCCAGTCCCTAGCACCTGTGACTAAGTTTGATGCCCGTAGCAGAAAAGAGAGAATGGCAGTGAAATGTTAGGTGCATTGTAGTGCCTATGAAAGGTGCTGGATTGAAAGTGCTGGAGGTTGAGGTCATCTGTTTACCCCAAAACAGACACATAGGCAATGGCAATATAGGGTCCCCACACTGCCCTATCAATTAGCTTTAATTCTGAACCAGAGGGACCAGCCCTAGGCTTTAGACAGCAATGAATTTTCTATGCTTATTGACTGCTTGAGCTCTTTACTATGGCCTTGTCTACACTGGGGATTTGCCTTGATTTCAGCTCCCAGTGTAGCTACGCCAGTGCAAACTCCCAGTGTAGACAGGCAAAGACTCTATAAACCATAATTTGCACCTGTGCATTTTACAACCATTTCAGTTAGGGGTAAACTTTCCCAGGGCAAATAGAGGCTTTGCATTCTACACTAGAGGTTTGCACTACCGCAGTTACATTGGTGGCTGGCCACCAATGGCTGAAATTGGGGCAAATTCCCAGTGTGGACAAGGACTAAGCGTGCCAGCGAAACTTTCAAATGGTGGTGGCGGCGTTCTGATGTGGAAATCTATTTACTAAAAAGCTGTTAAAGGACAGCTCTCAGTCATAGCTAATCGGGGGCTGGATTCAAGCCAAGCTACATGAGAAATGCTTCATCTTCTATTACCAGTCCCATGGATCATCTAGTCTGCCCGCATCTGCTCTTTCTGTTAGTGTCCAACGTCCATGAAATTTTCTGTCATATTGATTAGGAGCAGTAGATCAGCTGTGGGTTCTTTTTAAAAAGTAGGAAAAATTTTATGCTGAAGTATACTTTTGTTATGGTTTCAAGTATCGGGGGTAGCCGTGTTAGTCTGTATCCATAAAAACAACAAGGAGTCCGGTGGCACCTTAAAGACTAACAGATTTATTTGGGCATAAGCTTTAAGGTACCACTGGACTCCTTGTTGTTTTTGTTATGGTTCTGTGCTACTCCTAGGTAAATCTATATGCTATCTGTGGAGCTGTTAACTTTTGAGGAGATATGGTTTGAAAAGGTCACCAACGTTCTTCATCTTGTGTGTTTTGTATTTTCTTTGCAAATAAAGATATGTGGAACCACAGAATCGTAGAAGTGTAGGATTGAAAGGGACCTCAATAGGTCATCTAGTCCAGTCCCCTGCACTCAAGGCAGGACTACATAACTAGACCATTCTTGACAGGTGTTTGTCTAACCTGTTCTTAAAAACCTCCACTGACAGAGATTCCACAACCTCACTAGGCAATTTGTTCCAGTGCTTACCTACTCTGACAGGAAGGTTTCAGAGTAACAGCCATGTTAGTCTGTATTTGCAAAAAGAAAAGGAGTACTTGTGGAACCTGAGAGACTAACCAATTTATTTGAGCATAAGCTTTCGTGAGCTACAGCTCACTTCATCGGATGCATACTGTGGAAAGTTTAGAAGATCTTATTATATACACACAAAGCATGAAAAAAATACCTCCTCCCACCCCTCTCTATTTTTTTCATGCTTTGTGTGTATATAATAAGATCTTCTAAACTTTCCACAGTATGCATCCGATGAAGTGAGCTGTAGCTCACGAAAGCTTATGCTCAAATAAATTGGTTAGTCTCTAAGGTGCCACAAGTACTCCTTTTCCTTCTGACAGGAAGATTTTCCTAATGTCCAACCTAAACCTCCCTTGCTGCAATTTAAGCCCATTGCTTCTTGTCCTATCCTAAGAGGTTAAAAAGAAAATTCCCCCCCCCCCCTTCCTTATAATAATCTTGTACTTGAAGACTGTTATTATGTGTGTGTCCCACCCCTTCCCCCTCGGTCAGTTTTCTCTTCTCCAGAGTAAACAAATCCAATTTTTTCAATCTTTCCTCATAGATCTTGTTTTCTAGACTTTAAATCATTTTTGTTGCTCTCCTCTAGACTTTCTCCAATTTATCTACATTTCCTGAAATGTGGTGCCTAGAACTGGATACAATATTCCAGTGGAGGCCTTATCAGCATGGAATAGAGTGGAAGAATTAAGTCTTACCTCTTGCTTACAACACTCCTGCTAATACATCCCCATATGATATTTGATTTTTTTTTTTTTACCCAACAGTGTTACATTGTTGATTTAGGGCTCCTTTGAGCAGTCTCTTAAACAAAAGTAATTGTCAGATTCTGAGAGACATAGGCTATATAGATTTCCCTTTGCTTCCCAGATAATATGAATTATAACCAATAACAATAAAACTTCATTATCAGTCTTATCCTGATGTATCAATATTTTCTTAAGAGGTAAACATTGCTTTTGTATTTAATTCTGACTTGCAATTTGATAGTATGGTATTTGTAGTCAAGTGAACACTAAAGAAACTCAAAGTCTTAATGTGATACCATTCAAGCTCTCTTGAAGGTCCTGTCTACGTTGGATATTTTCTTTTAAATTTCCCACTGTTGTTACCACCAGTTCAGCTTCACTAGTGATAAAAAAGCTGGGAGTGCTAGTACAGACAAGCCACCAGTGCTTTAACCCCGGACTCTGAAGTAGTGTAGATAACACAGTGGTTAAAATACAGATGGCTGGTGTTCACTTATTGCCTATCTCTTATACAGGAATTTAAATGGCATCAGATAGAGATTTTTGGTTTCTTTAGTATTTGCTTGGTTACAAATACTGTACTTTCAAACTGCCAGCCTTAGTCAAGATTTTTGTTATGACTTGAATAGCTTTCAGCAGGTTGTTTGGAACATTGATGGTCATGAGGCAAATTTTTCAGTCAATACATAGAAATTCTTCCCAGATCCAAAGATATGAGCTATGTTCACCCATCCTAATACTAATATTTCTTTTTTTTTTTTCTGAGAGGAGGTATTAAAATGATCACTGTAGAATAAATGAGAAACGGTAGGGTTCTTTGGCTGGGGGTAAGTTTAATATTATTATGTAAGCGGAGAGCTTAATGTCCTCAAAAGAGATTTGCCTACTTCTGACCTTCTTGAAAAAACAGCAGACAGTGCTCACCTCCAGAGATGGGAAATGTGCAGCCTGTCCGTCAGTCCAGTAAATGCCTCAAGTGAGGTCCCTAAATCCATAGTTAAGCATCTGAATACAGGTGGCTTGATATTCAGTGGTGCAGATGCCTAACTGGATTTGAGGAACCTCACTTGTAGACACCCAGACTTGAAAGTTTTCTTCCACATCTCAGATTCTTCTACAAATTATCAAAAAGTCTGGCATTACATCTGAGGGAACAGAAAATAACCCCGTCAGTTATCGTAGACAGAGAAACCAGCAAACTTCTAAACTTTGGAAATAAAGCCATGTTTTCTCCTAATTGAAGCTGGGGCAGACACATCCTCCCCCACCCCCGGAAACCCCCAAAAAACTTCCCCCTCCACACTATTGAGGGATCCACAGAAAGCCCTAAAATGTTCCTTACTGAAGCTTTGCAAGTGTTCTGCCCCATGCATACTTCTCCCATTATGACAGGTTTCAGAGTAGCAGCTGTGTTAGTCTGTATCCGCAAAAAGAAAAGGAGTACTTGTGGCACCTTAGAGACTAACAAATTTATTTGAGCATGAGCTTTCGTGGCTCACGAAAGCTTATGCTCAAATAAATCTGTTAGTCTCTATGAGCTGTAGCTCACGAAAGCTTATGCTCAAATAAATTTGTTAGTCTCTAAGGTGCCACAAGTATTCCTTATCTTTCTCCCATTATGTCACTGTAGTTGTATTTTCCAAGTTAAAACATGCAATTTTCTAAATAATTTATGAAAAAAGCCTAACTATAGGTTGCAAAATCAGGCTGACGAGAGGAGATAAGACTCTCCTGCCACTTCTGCAATTCTCATTGTACCTAGCAATCTGCAGTATTAAAGACATGGAAAGAATCTTTGCAACCAGCATTTAAACATCAGATCAACTTACTTTTTAAGTCTCCAACTTGACACACTGGATCTTCTCACTGTTTTCACCCTTAGAAGTAAATGAAAGGTTCTGGGGAAGTCTAAGTTCAGTATTTTCTTCCCAGATCTGTCTAGGGCTGGCTTCAGTAACAAGCTGGTTATACCAGAGCGTATGCTAAGAGCACACAGACTATTTGCATTTTCTTTGGTGGTTTAAAAAAGCCTCTGTAACGATCCTCCCTTAAGGCAGCTCTTTGCTGTGAGAGGAGGCAGCATGTGGCTATTGGCTAATGCTCAAAGGGGAAGAAGAGAACAGCCCACAAATATCTAAATATTTGCAGTTAAGTGAAAGTCACTTCATGACATTTTTTGGGTATGGATGGGGAAATAAAAACAAAAAAAGGAGAGAGAGAGGCTTGCAAGTGCATCTGACTCTTCTCGGCTCCAAGGTCTCCCAGCTGCAGGAACTCTATGGAGCTGAGACCTCTCCTGCTTTAAAAGAAGAACAGCTTGTGTCCCTCCCCAATTCCTGTGGCTAGGGAGTGGCTTAACCCTATCAACCATGTAAAAAAAATAAATAACTTTCGCACAACTCATTAAATCAAAGAAACAGATTGTTTAGACAAGCTGTATCCCTTTTTCTGGAGTATGTGGCAGTGAGTCAGAGCAGATCAGAGGATGCCTTTGAGTTTGTCTTTTCCAGATACCTTTTCCGGTCCCCTTTCCACACTCACTGTCCTGAGGCTTCCCATTTTTGTTACCTGTTTTCAAAATTAAATGTGCGAAGAACTGCTGGGCCACCTTGGACTCGATGAGACTGCAGTTTCTGATTGAAAAATCATAGCTTGCACATGTGCAATTTAAAATCTCAGACTGTCATGTAGCTTATGAAGCAACGAGGGTCCAACTTCAATTTTTATGAGAGTTTAACACAGACTAGAAAGCAAGGGGCGCTGGAAGCACAGTGGAGTTGTTCCATTCCCTTCTCAGCTGCAGCAGAGCAGTCATGCCCTTTGGACAGAGTGACCAGGAGAAGGCTCTCCAAGGCCACATCTTCAGTGCATGCTACTCATGAGTTAAGCAGTTGCAGGTTAGCCTATCACACTACAGCGGGACCACACTGTCGTTATCTGCCCTTTGCTCTCACTCCCTGCATCCGCGCTGGTGCTGTTGCTCAGTGATAAGCAAGCCGCTATCTAGACGTGTGTAACCCAAGATTCATTGTGCCACACCTCACCGCATCTCTCTGGGCTCGTGTTCGCAAGGTGCTGTAGGGCAACTCATCCGCCCACTCAGGGGATTGTGGGAGGAAATCATCTCGATCTGGGAAATTCAATGCTTGGCAGGACCCAGGCTGGTGTGGTGGTATGCTGTGATAGGCTTAGCGTATGAATACTGTTCCTGTTAATAACTAGTGCTTTTATGAAGGCATGGTTGCTTTTTTGTGCATCTGCAGAAGCTGTTGCCAAGAGATGCTGGTGGGTGTTTCAGAGGCTGCTCTTGACCTGAAGGTGAAGGCAGAGGCTGATGCTGTTTTTCTTGGCAGATTCCCTCCTCTGCAGATCCTCACTTCTGGACCAAGACCTCAAGCATACACTGGCAGGACCACATTATAGTGAAAACATGGGGCGACCAGCAATAAACCTAGAATTTTTGCACCAGGAAAGCCACATTCCTGGAGCTGGGTAAGGAGCTTGCCCCCGCCCTTGAGTAGCAAAGCACCCAGATAAAGAGAGCCAATAATGCTCCAGAAGCATGCTTCTATCACCTTGTGGAAGCTGGCAACCCTAGATGGTGACAGATCTGCTGGTAATCAGTTCAGGTAGGTAAAACCAGAGCTAGCAAAGTGGTCACGGAGGTTTTGCAAGGCAGTTATTGCTCTGCAGGCCTCCATGGTTATAAGGCTTGGAAAAATCAGTGGCAGGACTTGTGTTATACCAATAAAATAAAAACCAGCAGGATCTTATTAAAAGGGAAAAGGCAAAATGCCACATTTATTGTGAATACAGAAAGAATCATACTAAGCAGTTAGCCCTGGTCTACACAAGGACTTTAGGTCGAATTTAGCAGCGTTAAATCGATGTAAACCTGCACCCGTCCACACGATGAAGCCCTTTATTTCGACTTAAAGGGCTCTTAAAATCGATTTCCGTACTCCACCCCTGACAAGTGGATTAGCGCTTAAATCGGCCTTGCTGGGTCGAATTTGGGGTACTGTGAACACAATTCGACGGTATTGGCCTCCGGGAGCTATCCCAGAATGCTCCATTGTGACCACTCTGAACAGCACTCTCAACTCAGATGCACTGGCCAGGTAGATAGGAAAAGAACTGCGAACTTTTGAATCTCATTTCCTGTTTGGGCAGCGTGGCAAGCTGCAGGTGACCATGCAGAGCTCATCAGCAGAGGTGACCATGATGGAGTCCCAGAATCACAAAAGAGCTCCAGCATGGACTGAACGGGAGGTATGGGATCTGATCGCTGTATGGGGAGAGGAATCCGTGCTATCAGAACTCCGTTCCAGTTTTTGAAATGCCAAAGCCTTTGTCAAAATCTCCTAGGGCATGAAGGACAGAGGCCATAACAGGGATCCGAAGCAGTGCTGCGTGAAACTTAAGGAGCTGAGGCAAGCCTACCAGAAAACCAGAGGGGCGAACGGCCACTCCGGGTCAGAGCCCCAAACATGCCGCTTCTATGATGAGCTGCATGCCATTTTAGGGGGTTCAGCCACCACTACCCCAGCCGTGTTGTTTGAGTCCTTCAATGGAGATGGAGGCAACACGGAAGCAGGTTTTGGGGACAAAGAAGATGATGATGAGATTGTAGATAGCTCACAGCAAGCAAGCGGAGAAACCGGTTTTCCTGACAGCCAGGAACTGTTTCTCACCCTGGACCTGGAGCCAGTACCCTCCGAACCCACCCAAGGCTGCCTCCTGGACCCGGCAGGTGGAGAAGGGACCTCCGGTGAGTGTACCTTTTAAAATACTATACATTGTTTAAAAGCAAGCATGTGAAAGGATTAATTTGCCCTGGCATTCGCGGCGCTCCTGGATGTACTCCCAAAGCCTTTGCAAAAGGTTTCTGGGGAGGGCAGCCTTATTGCGTCCTTCATGATAGGACACTTTACCACTCCAGGCCAGTAACACGTACTCGGGAATCATTGTAGAACAAAGCATTGCAGTGTATGTTTGCTGGCGTTCAAACAACATCCGTTCTTTATCTCTCTGTGTTATCCTCAGAAGAGTGAGAAATCATTCATGGTCTCCTGGTTGAAATAGGGTGCTTTTCTTCAGGGGACATTCAGAGGAGCCCGTTCCTGCTGAGCTGTTTGCCTGCGGCTGAACAGAAATGTTCTCCGCTGTTAGCCACGAAGAGGAGGCAGGGTTGAGGGGGTAGCCACGTGGTGGGGGGAGGCAAAATGCGACCTTGTAACGAAAGCACATGTGCTATGTATGTAATGTTAACAGCAAGGTTTATCCTGAAAGAGTGTAGCCACTATTTTATAAAATGTGTCTTTTTAAATACCGCTGTCCCTTTTTTTTTCTCCACCAGCTGCATGTGTTTCAATGATCACAGGATCTTCTCCTTCCCAGAGGCTAGTGAAGATTAGAAAGAAAAAAAAACGCACTCATGATGAAATGTTCTCTGAGCTCATGCAGTCCTCCCACACTGACAGAGCACAGACGAATGCGTGGAGGTAAATAATGTCAGAGTGCAGGAAAGCACAAAATGACCGGGAGGAGAGGTGGCGGGCTGAAGAGAGTAAGTAGCGGGCAGAAGACAGGGCTGAAGCTTAAATGTGGCGGCAGTGTGATGAGAGGAGGCAGGATTCAATGCTGAGGCTGCTGGAGGACCAAACCAGTATGCTCCAGTGCATGGTTGAGCTGCAGCAAAGGCAGCTGGAGCACAGACCGCCACTACAGCCCCTGTGTAACCAACCGCCCTCCTCCCCAACTTCCATAGCCTCCACACCCAGACGCCGAAGAACGCGGTGGGGGGGCCACCGGCCAACCAGCCACTCCGCCACAGAGGATTGCCCCAAAAAAAGAAGGCTGTCATCCAATAAATTTTAAAGTTGTAAACTTTTAAAGTGCTGTGTGGCATTTTCCTTCCCTCCTCCACCACCCCTCCTGGGCTATCTTGGTAGTCGTCCCCCTATTTGTGTGATGAATGAATAAAGAATGCATGAATGTGAAGCAACAATGACTTTATTGCCTCTGCAAGCAATGATTAAAGGGAGGAGGGGAGGGTGGTTAGCTTGCAGGGAAGTAGAGTGAACCAAGGGGCGGGGGGGTTTCATCAAGGAGAAACAAAGAGAACTTTCACACTGTAGCCTGGCCAGTCATGAAACTGGTTTTTCAAAGCTTCTCTGATGCATACCGCGCCCTCCTGTGCTCTTCTAACCGCCCTGGTGTCTGGCTGCGCGTAACCAGCAGTCAGGCGATTTGCCTCAACCTCCCACCCCACCATAAACGTCTCCCCCTTACTCTCACAGATATTGTGGAGCACACAGCAAGCAGTAATAACAGTGGGAATATTGGTTTCGCTGAGGTCTAAGTGAGTCAGTAAACTGCGCCAGCGTGCCTTTAAATGTCCAAATGCACATTCTACCACCATTCTGCACTTGCTCAGCCTGTAGTTGAACAGCTCCTGACTACTGTCCAGGCTGCCTGTGTACGGCTTCATGAGCCATGGCATTAAGGGGTAGGCTGGGTCCCCAAGGATACATACAGGCATTTCAATGTCCCCAACAGTTATTTTCTGGTCTGGGAATAAAGTCCCTTCCTGCAGCTTTTGAAACAGACCAGAGTTCCTGAAGATGCGAGCATCATGCACCTTTCCCAGCCATCCCACGTTGATGTTGGTGAAACGTCCCTTGTGATCCACCAGAGCTTGCAGCACTATTGAAAAGTACCCCTTGCGGTTTATGTACTCGCCGGCTTGGTGCTCTGGTGCCAAGATAGGGATACGGGTTCCGTCTATGGCCCCACCACAGTTAGGGAATCCCATTGCAGCAAAGACATCCACTATGACCTGCACATTTCCCAGGGTCACTACCCTTGATATCAGCAGATCTTTGATTGCATGGGCTACTTGCATCACAGCAGCCCCAACAGTAGATTTGCCCACTCCAAATTGATTCCCAACTGACCGGTAGCTGTCTGGCATTGCAAGCTTCCACAGGGCTATCGCCACTCGCTTCTCAACTGTGAGGGCCGCTCTCATCTTGGTATTCATGCGCCTCAGGGCAGGGGAAAGCAAGTCACAAAGTTCCATGAAAGTGCCCTTACGCATGCGAAAGTTTTGCAGCCACTGGGAATCGTCCCAGACCTGCAACACTATGCGGTCCAACCAGTCTGTGCTTGTTTCCCGAGCCCAGAATCGGCGTTCCACAGCATGAACCTGCCCCATTAGCACCATGATGCATGCATTGGCAGGGCCCATGCTTTC